TGAAAGTAGCTATTCAGCCCTAGCCCAAACAATAGGCCTAATCAAGACCCAACGATAGGGAATTTAGAAATCAATGGGCCTCTTCACCATAGGGGCGTGACTAACCATCCCCACCCAGTCCTCAAATAGGCCACTCTCAGCCTTTTAGCGCAGAGCAATTCCCGGAGTCTTCACGGAGACTTCAGAGTTGTCTACCGCTGATGAAGCTTCTGTGAGAGAAGCGAAACGTCGTTTTTTGTTTTTTTTACCCACAAGTACAGATGACGACTGACAGAACCCTTTCGACGATGGAACTTTCCTGTACGACTGAGAGCCTCCACAAGCGAATTTACAATGTTTATAATATTAACATTTTTACGAATATATTAGTTACGACAATAAGTTTCTACTATTTGCAGCATTGCTTCTTAGAATGTCTTCCATATGAAAGTGCAATTGATACTGGACAAAATCCTGAACTAAATCAAAAGCCAAACTAAGTGATTAGTTAATCGAATCGAATTGGACCCTTGTGAATCAACTCAAATTGATTTGGGAAATCTGAATCAATACCCTATCTCTACTTTTATTATTAATAATAATAATAATAATAATCATAATAAAACAGCTAATACCTGTACTTTTGTGTACTGTACTTATGACTTATGTAAATGTGGAGTTATAGGTAGCTTTGGACATTAAAGCTAGAACCACCAAATAAATGAAAATACATCGGTTGTTGTGGAATAAGGAACAAATGGTTGGTGTAAACTGGTGTAAATGCAAGTTTGAAATGCAGAAAATGTTGTTTGGGACTGCAACAACAACGTTTTTTGTAATGTATGTATTCAGATCCTGTTAGCAGGTCAAGCAAAAGTGAAAATATTTGTTTTCTTCACTTTGCCACGAGCAAATTTTCTATAATGTACAGGGAGCAGACATCTGAATAATTCTGGCTGCCATCATGTTGACTGGGACAATCCCCCATTAGTGTGTTAATTCAAAACATTTTTATTCGTGACTTTAATCACTGGGTTAGTACAAAAAAACAACTCTATGTATCCTGATGTTGAACAATATGATCATATGCTTTCGTGTTTTTCCCCCAAAAAAATATGCTTCTCAGGATGCACGTTAACACACACACCAGCACACACACCCACAAGCACACCCACACGCACGCACACACACACACATGCGCACATACATAAAGATGCCTACATATAGCACAATGCTCGTACATTTTTGGCAAATGTTAAAATTGTAAATAGATAAATACTTGAAAATACCGTTTTTTTTTTGCTATCAAAATGGCTTTTTCACATCTTCTCTTGAAGCACTGTTTTTATGTATTTGAGCTGTCATAAAAGCAAGAAATATTGTCAAAATTGAAATTTACTTGAAATACGTGTTTTCACATCAACCTCAATTCCTCTTTTTTTCTGGGAAGAAAAAAGGATTTTTAGTTTAACTTGCTTTTGTTCGACTGCATATTTGTAAAGAATAACCAATGGTAGAAATAAACTTTAAAAGAAGAGAATCTAATATTTATTTTGGTAGGTTCCATGTCATTATAGCCATAGAACACTGTAGGCCTTCAAAGATAGATCAAAAACCACCAAAATGGCTGGTCTTGAATAAATTCATGACAATAGGGAATGAGTGTCATAAATAAAGCCAACTCTGCAGTGCGACCCTTGTCTAAGCTTGTCAGCGAATTTGCCTTATGTCATGAGAGCCTGAGAACGGATCTGGGATGTCACTGTATAACTAGCTGTGTTCACCATTATGTAAGAGCGTCTAACAGTGTTGAAGGTAAATAAAGTTTTGAAAAATCCATCTTTGTGACCGCTTGCTGAGCAAATATCCCATTTTGTTACGTGGAGACCCGCTGCAATTGCAAAAGTGGTCAATATCTGTACAAATTTGTTGTTGTGGCTTTAAATCAGGTACGATTTGTAGTCTGGAAATTACGGTAACTCTTGATCATGATCCAAAAATACCAATTACAATTCGCCCTTTTCACTTTGGTGCAGTTCTGGTCTCTGAGTGGCATTTAGGTCATCCATGAGAAACCTTTTTTTTCCCTCCTTTTTCTCCCATTATTATATGTATACGTTATGTATATGTGATTATTGTATCCCCTGACAACAGATCCCCCATTTTCCGGTCTATACACGCTCGGGTGAGGTGACGATCTCCATTGAGCTACAGAAGTCTGGCTTCAACCTCACCGCCACCGAGCTTGACCTCATCATTCGCCTGCACCAGTACATCTTCTCCCACATCCTTCGTTTAGAGAAACCTGCACTGGAGTTCAAGCCTACATTTGCGGAGTCTGCTTACTGTGTTCTACCTCTCAATGTTGGTGAGTGGACGTGTACTCAGAATGTGCTGCTATTTTCAGGTGGATGGTGTGGTGTGAATTGTGTGTGTGTTTAGATATAGGGTCCAAAAGGCTCTTGCGGCAAATATGATAATTGATTAGCATTGGTCTGTTAAATCGATGCTTTAATTTTGAAGCTTGATTTAGCATTAAAAGAAATTAACTCCGTTTTGTTTACTTCCTGTCCTCAACTTCTGATCACTTGCAGAGCGAAACAAAGTGAGCTGCCTGGTCAGAGGACAGTCGCTGCCACAAAGAATCAAAATCAGAATCAGATATTTTGGTCCAAGTATGAAAAACACAAGGAATTTACTGTCCCGGTTCTAAGCCATCCAGAGAAACAGAAACAACAACAATGACCAACACTGGCAGACAGAACGGGAAGCCTTAGTGGTTCGCTGTTTAGTGCCCTAATATATTCCATGTGAAAGGAAAAAAATAGGGAAGAGGAGGGAAAGAAATGACAGACTATGAAATGGAGCATTGTTTGAGCCCGAGACCAAACCTCAACAAATGTAGTGTACATTGAGGACATGTACAACAAATCTTGAGACTTTTCTTGTAGTGAACGGGGAGGTAGGGGCGGGGGAAACGTAATGCAACCAGACTGGCTAGCAGCTTAGTCTATTTGAGCTCTCTAAAAGTCAAGTTTCATTACGGTGAGGGCTGGGAATGTAAATCCAACTAAAGCAGGGTTGTGTAGCACGTGTTATCATGGACAAAGTGGGTTAAATGAGACAACTCACGGACTTTACCTAGTTTTCATGGATTTTTTTTTCCAATATAACTGATATGATTCCTAAACATTTTAACGTTGAGAGAAAGAGAGAGAGAGAGAGAGAGAGAGAGAGAAATATAAGATGACATGCTTTATTAATCCCGTGAGGGAAATTAAATATTAATGTAGCTTTTGAGCATGGTTAGTTAGGTGCAAAAAGTACCTGGAAGATGCATTTATGAATCTCGATTGGTGAACATGGTTGGAGATAAGAGAATATGGTCCATTGTTTTCCATTTTTTTTTTATAGCTGGAGAGTCCAACACGCTTGATATGGACTTCAAGTTCATGGAGGACATTGAAAAGTCTGAGGCCCGGACTGGCATTCCTACTACTCATTACACCAAACAAAATCCTTTCACCTTCAAATTGGAGGATTACCAGGATGCTGTCATCATTCCAAGGTACTTTGGGAGAGCGGGGAGTTACACGTAGGATTCCAAGAGATTTTGTCGTGTCACTTTTTTATTTGAAATGTCCGAGATCATCCAGAAGGTGGGCAGCGACTATTTTTTCTAAAATCTTGGAGAGACCTCTGAGGTTGAATAAAAGCTTGACGTTAGCAGGGACTTCAAGGTTAATTGAATGTTTTTACGCATTGGTTAAAGCATGTTGTACATGTTCAATGTCAAAGTGAGAATTTTAGCACGATTGTGATCAGGCAGCTGACTTAATACTTTTTTTGCCCGTGTGTGTGTGTGTGTGCGCGTGCACCACACACACAAACACACCAGTGATGAAAGTCCTCTGAATTTTCCCGGAATTCCGGATTTTCAAATTTTCATGAAAATTCCTCCGGAAAATTGAGGAAAAATTGCCTAAAATTAATCCGGATATTAATTGACAACATTGAACGTACACACGTTTGAGTTTTTTGTTTTGCTTTCACGAGCGTAGCCATGTTGAGGCACTAACACCAGTAATAGTAACACCCCTACCCTCACATTCTCATGGCCTCGCTTTGTCTCGGAGATTTCGAAATTTCGTCGAATGGAAGTCACAAAAGGTGCCCGTGTGCACACAAAAGTCAGATTAATTATTGAATGTTGAGTATTTGAATAGCGTTTTGTGTCAATTAATTCATGCGTCATCGGCCAGGTACGGCCCCGGCGCAATGTTCAAACAGGTAGACAGGCAAGCTGACATGCGTGCAAGAGACGCGAGTGTTAGGAACACGTTCAAGTGGTAATGGCTTGAGGAAAAGCACTTGAACGGAGATTTTTTTTGTCCGACTACATTAGAGAGGTTGACAAACCTGGTAAGTCAGTAAAAATCATATATATATGTGTAGCGGCTGGATAGCTCAGTTGGTAAGGCATCGGTTTGGCGTACGGGAGACGGTGGTTTGAATCCTGCTTGGGGCAAAAATGAGCACATAACACCATCCAGTGTGGGTCCTTGGGCAAGATCCTTCACGCTATGCCGACCTCATACAATGATGAGAGACAATAAGACGAATGACATGCCGGCTCAGACGTCGCCCGGCCAAACAAGGTCTGCGTCAGGTGCTGGGGAACCAGAGCACCCTGATGAAAAATGGGCTACTGGAACAAAGCGGAGATGGGCGAGATGCGATAACATGGCTCTGTTGGAATGCTACTACTCAAGCAACC